CGAGGAGTCGGGATGGCGTCCCCGGGAGGGGCCCCGGCCGCGGCTCCAGGTGGGGCTGGCCCTGGAAGCGGAGCGCCCGAGGAGGAGGAACACGAAGTGGTTCGGGTGCGGGTCAAGGTGAGAGTGAGGGGCCGAAGCTGGGGGGGGCCCGGGGCGGGACGCGATCCGAGGTCCCGGTGCCTGGTTTCCCTTCAGAGGGGGACAGGGTTGGATCCACGCAGGGTGGTGGAAGCGGAACGGTGATGTCACGGGGACCTGGGAGAGGCTAGGAGGGGGGGGGTCCCCTGATGCCTTCGGTTGTATTCGCCGGTCCCGTTTGTCGAATGATGCTCTTGCCCTTAAATGCTAGGCGCTATCACAGCAGGCGAAATCCGAGGCACCGTCGCCAGAACAAGTCCAGTAGCGTCCTGTTTACAAAACTTAAGAGGTGGTGGCGGTACTGAATGAAGGCGGGTGAGCCAAGTGGATGAGCCTATTTGGGTGAAGCCTGGGTAAAGAAGTGGGTGGAGACCTTTCCCTGTGGCAGAATCAGTAGAAAGAAGTGATAGACCAGTTGGCGTAGCCTCTTCTCCCCAGTAAGATGTGTTACTGGTTGTATATACAACATATTTATTGTAGCCATCAACTCAATCATGATATTATTTGTGATATTTCTGCAGATACGTGGGGGTTTAAATTTATCCAGAAATGTGAAGTTTGAATCATGTTATGGTTGGAATGCTACTACTCTTTTGAACACTTACTCAGTAAGTGTAAGCTTGAGAGAGATTCTCCTCCCTCAGTTACTATGAGCATGTTACTGGCAGTCCATCAGTATGTCTGTTATGGGATGTTTTATTATATTGGATTTGTTTGGGATTTGATGGGGAAGATGTATTGAGTTTAGTATATTATTGTCAGCTGCCCAGAGTAGTACTTTGCACTAAAACAGGAAATATACAAATAGCATGAATGAATGAATGAATTTTAATAAAATAGTTGTGTGAATTCATCTTCTGGTAAAATGGATTGTGTGTTGACATGTACTGATTTGCTCAGATGGCAGTTCTGCAGGCATGAAAATAAAGAAATGGGATGAATTAAGAATTATGGTTATTCATCCCTTAACAGTTTGTGTAAAACAAAATTCAGTGTACAGGGTAGTATGCCGTGATTTGTCTTCGGTGGTCATGTGTATTTTTAGTTCTTTAATTTCAAAATAATTTTCCAAGACCACCACTGCAATGTCATGGTTAGAACATTGTCCATACACCCAGGTTCCAATTTCTTCTGCCATTTCAGCAATGAGTGATGCCTTCTTGACTGCTTCTGTTTTTTAGGATTTGTTTTATTAAGTTCATAACTAATTTCATTCACATCTGCTGGAATCAACCAGATGCACAGCAATAGATAAAACTGTGCTTAGTCAAACGATTGTGTCAAATGGTATTTGTAATAAAGGTAATTTGCAAGCACAGTTCAAATTATCATTTCTCCTCTTTATTAGCTGATTACAGCCATGGTTTGGACATTCCAAGAAGCTTCATTACTGATTTAAAATCTAGCTTACCACTCATTGTCATAAGTTTAAAGCATTACGATAGCTCAGCAAAGTGGATACTAATAAATAAAACAGGTTACTGGTATTATTAGTCATGAAAAAGAAACTGAGATGTGCACAGAGGTATTAACTTGCCTAGAGCATTGAGTAGAAATGTGAAATGTGACTTCCTAATTTGAAGTAATATTTACGCTTGTTGACTATGTTGATTGCTCCAATTCATCTTCAGTGATCATGCAAATGTAACTTAAAATTGTTGAGGTGCTTTTCAGATGCTAATACTGGTTTCTGTAGCTGCCAGGCTAATTTGATTACTTCACCAGCAACATGAATTTTCAATGTCATTTTTGCCTGTGAGCAGGAGTCTTATTTTGAGTGCCCATTCCCATTTCTTTGTTCTGTAGGTGTCATCTTTGGTACTTAAGTACAATTCTAAGCTTTATCCATGTTGCCATGGTCCAAATTGTCATTTTACTATAGAAAACTTGGCCATAGATAGTTGTCAGTGTCAGACAAATAAACATATAATCTCTTTCAGTGACCATACTGTATGTCAACAGTTTATAGATGAACTGGGTGCTTTGCCAAACCATTGGCAATTGAGGATGTTACAAATAGGATGGCAGACAAGACCAATGTTTCAGTCCCACAATGATCAGTCCCTAAGCTTGGGCTGATCAAATTGCCTTTGTTTCAGGAAGTATGTGACTGAAAGCATGTCTCTTCCAAGGAGGAGATCAGCTTTAGCTGCATGAAAGACACCTTATGATGGGCCAATTGTTCTGAATTGTTTTTCTTTTTTCTACATTAAGGAATGAGAGCTGCTTGGCTTTGCTTTCCACCCTTTGTAATAAGAGATAAGCTTATTGGCAGCTGTGGAGACTTCAGTGAAAATGGGACTTCTCGGCCTGCTCCCCAGAGGGCAGGGACTATTTAAGTATACTGGGATAGTTCAGCTACAGTCATATATTGAAGCTGTATCAGAATCTTGATTCCTATCTTCTTTCCACAGTTAAGGCCAATCTTTATACCTCTTTTGCTCTTACAGACAGTAAACATATCTGCATTTTACATGTCAAGTAAATATCTCTCCACATTTTTCTACTGGGAACATAAGCAATATTTGGTCTAATACTTGTCAAAAGTATTGCTTGGACAGTTTAATTTAAAATGCTTGAGATTAAGCTCTTCTGAGTTCAGTGGGGCTTCTTTCTTTAAAAAAAGATACTTAGAACTTTAATCATCAGCTCCTTATTTACTTGAAAGTATATCCATTGAATTATAATTAGATTTGCTAGGATACATAATATGCATAGTAGTGTTCCTGACCGTGAATTGGAAATCACTGTTCCAGTTCATGTGAGTGTCTCTAATGTGGCTAGGAATGTAATAATGTCAGTCAGATTATAGAGCGCAATAAGATCTGCAGATTGTGGTGATCTTGTTTATGTCAACACAACAGGGTATGTTTGGTTTTTGAAAAAAATACTGATTTTTATCCACCCTGGAACACAAAACATGCCAAATGCCATTTTTATTCTCTCCCGTCTTGAAGGGTTACATGTGAAGAGACAGTAACAGAGACAGTTTCACAAGGCTTGTGCCACCCCACCATCTGTCGTTACAGGAAACGTAGGGAGTTTGGTTACCTCTTGGCCAGTCTACACCAGTAGTTCCCAACCTTGTGTTGCCAGATGTTTTTGGACTATCAGAAGCCTTTACCCCTAGCCAGTGGTGGTGAACCTTTTTGGGCTTGCGTGCCCAAAGTGGAAGAAAAAAGCAAAACAGGGGGTGGTGTGCCGCAGTGGTAGTGGAACCGGAAGTAGCGACAAAAGGGGAATCCCAGACACGAAGGTGCCTTGAGAACCTACTCCGGATTGCCCAAAGTGGAAGAAAAAAGCAAAACAGGGGGTGGTGGGCTGCAGCGGTGGCAGAACCGGAAGTAGCGACAAAAGGGGAATCTCAGACACGAAGGTGCCTTGAGACCCCACTCCAGATCCACCGCGAGCACCAGCCGCTCCAGATCTGGTGCCTTGAGAACCTACTCCGGATCCACCGCGAGCACCAGCTGCTCCAGATCCTGACCAACTGCCTGTCCGGGCACCAGCACCGCGGTTGCAGCCGCCTTCTCAGGTTTGGCTGTGGGTGGGGGGAGTAGCAATCTGGTGACTCATGGCTGGCAGAAAGGACTCCGCATGCCAGCTGTGGCACACATGCCATAGGTTCGCCATCGCTGCCCCCAGCAGTGCTGACCAGTGTTTTGGGGAGTTGTAGTCCAATGCTATCTGGGGACTCAAGGTTGGGATCCAGTGGTCTAGACTACTGGTTCTTAACCTTGGGTTACTCAGGAGTTTTGGACTGCAACTCCCAGAAGCCTTCACCACCAACTGTGCTGGCTGGGGTTTCTGGGAGTTGCAGTTCAAAAACATCCGAGTAACAAAGGTTAAGAACCTAGACTGCAGAGTCAGTGCAGCTTGCTTCATATGTACATACAAATAGCTATCCCTCTTCTTCAAAATGTGTGTTTGTGACAGCAGCATTGTAAGCTGATATAACATCATTACAGTATTTTATTTATAGTAATATCTCATTGGTGTCCTAGTATGTAGAAATTAGAGAATTATTAATGATTCCCCTTATCATAGCATATGTTAGGATATTTCATTTAAATTTTTAGCTACATAAAGAAAAATGTTACATCTTATAGTTTATCATCTGGTCTGCAAAGTATTCGGCATGTATCTTTTCTATATAAATAGTATTTAAATCAGGGACGAGGCATGTGTAATCCTTGCAATGCTATACAAAGAAATTCATATCAGTCCAGCAGTATCTGAACATGTTCTCCATCCCTGCTTTAAAGCACTATTTGTGCTGTGGGCAGAATGATTCCTAGATAGCGGAAGGCAAGAGTGGGTGATACCTTTATTAGACTACAGCAGTTCATGAAGGGAAGCTGGCTTATGAATCCACAGGAGTCTTTATGAAGCTGGGCATTATAGAATTGGTGCAGAAGAAACATAAAAGTCCTAAAATCCATGACCATGTGCACAGGTTGTAATGTGTTGTTTAAAACAAGTTCCAAAACAGGACTGCAGAATCAGCTCCAGGGTGATAGGTTTCAGATTTCAGCTTGGGGTGGTGGTGGTAGGGATTAAAACATCCTTCCCAAACTTGTTAGAAAAATATTGCCAATCACTTGGTATCCCTCAGTGTCACAGTATAAACATATCTGTTGCTGTGGTGGTTGGTTTAGGGGTGGGGGGAGGTTTGAGATCCACCTGCAGCCTTCTACTTATTATAAAGGAGACTGAAAGTGCAAGTTTTGTACCAGAACTGTATGAGTGTTTTCTCCAAGAACATATGTTCTGGTATCTGTAGATTATGAAGACTGTCTGCTTTGGTGTTCTGGCCCTGCTTTACCCTGTGTACTCTTTGCAGAAATGTGAAGGCTTCCTTCAGCCTGAGTTCCGTACTTTTGCTGTGGATCCACAGATCACCTCACTGGACGTGTTGCAGCACATCCTTATCAGGGCCTTTGACCTCAATGGGTGAGTCCCAGGGAGCTGATTCATGGAGAGGGGGATGGAAACAGATAGGCTTGATGTATTCTCGAAGGCTTGATAGGCTTGACTTCGGGTTACTTTTACTGTATTCTTTTCTGTTTAATGAAAGCAAAGCTGTTTCAGAAGTAACAGATCTGGCTTTGGTGTAGGGAACACTATAAATATTGCCTGAACAAAGGCACATACATATCTCCCACCATGCATACTTAACATAGAAATTCCCTTTTCACATACAGTGGTGCCTCGCAAGACAATGTTAATTTATTCCACGAAAATAGCTGTCTTGTGAAAACATTGTCTTGCGAAATGCGATTCCCATTGGAATGCATTGAAATCCATTTAATGCATTCCAGTGGGGAAAAATCGTCGTCTTGTGAAAATCGCCCATAGAGAAACCGTTTTGTAAAGCACGGACCCAGCTGTCAAAATCGCTATCTTGTGAAAAACTGTCCCTTAAAAAACTGTTTTGCAAAGCATGGACTCAGCTGTCAAAATCGTCGTCTTGTGAAAAATGGTCCCCCTCCCAAAAAAAGTCTTGCGAATTAACTCTTTTGCGAGGTAATCATCTAGCAAGGCACCACTGTATTATGAAAAGAACTTGCATTGATATGTGTTGCTGCACAGATGGAGCTCTGTGTCCCAGAACTGGGCTTGAGTAAGTTCTGTGCAGCAGAATAGGAGAGGGAGAAAGCCCCATCATGGTAGTGGGTGGCCACTTGGACCACATTGGGTTTAGGACTGTTTCCTTTCACTTGGAGAGAGAAAGGGGGGCCTAAATCCAGCAGCTCTAGTAGATGACCACTAGCTTTATTGGAGTCAGGCTGAATAAAGGAGAAAAAAAATCATTGCTGAGGTGTGAAGCCGTATGATGGAGGGAACGGCTGAGTGGAGCTAAGCTCTATGGGCATTGCAAAGCATTAGGGATATTGTAGTCTTTCTACCATAATTCTCCATACAAGGTGCCTCTTAGGGAACTACGGTACCCCTAATGCTTTGTAGCACCTACAGAACTTAGCCCTTCCCAGCAACGTCTTCCATCAGCATACAACCTTGCAAGCCAGCAATGGAGTGATCTTTTCTGATCTTTTCTCATTTATTCAGCAGCTGTAAGTTATTTGAAGCACCTGAGAGGGTGCTCTTCTTTTAAAACTAAAGTCCCTCAAGATTCTGGCCAGAGCAATTTCACCAGACTTCTTGGTGCTTGTAGTCCAAAAGATAAGGAAGTCCCATCCCTAGAGCTTGCACATCCACAAGAAATGACTGAAGTAAAGAAAGAGCAACTCCTCACAGGGTTTCTACCAATCCAGCTCCTTTTACTCTTTCAAAATGCCAACTGTTCCCCTCTCCCAGAAATTTGGAATGGCTGCTACCAGCAAACGTTGCGATGCTATTGGCTAAAAAAAAATCCCAAGTGATTTCACAGACAGAATATGAGAAAAGTGTTAAATAAAAGAGGGAAACACAAAAAAATGTGAAATGTTCATGCACTCACCTTTCATTAATACAAACCAGTGTTGTTTTAGAGGCTGTTTTTGGGAATTAGCACAAGAACCATGTGAGTGGCCCCAGCCGCTGTATCCATGATGAGGCAGCAGGTACTGGTGAACAGTTAAGCTTTATTGGACTCAGCCTACAAAGAAAACAAAAGAAAAACAGTGTCTCTGTAGTCCTTTGCAGGATGGGGCCTCTAGCCCCAAGTGGCAGGGATGGAATGGATAGCTTCCTATCCTTCCAGGCCTTCTAGAGCTGAGAGAATATTCTGTCCCAGCCCAGAGGAAGTTACTTCACTCCCATGGCAGCATATCTTGGCTGAAAGGTCCAGGTTGTTAAACAGTCTTTGCCAGCCGAGTCCCCCAACATGGCGTCCAGCAAGCAGAGGAGGCTGTGCAGCACTGGCTGACCCTGGGAGCTTCTATCTTTCAGCTTTCAACTTGCCTTCAGATAAGCCAGTCGTCGTCTGGAGATGCAGGCCTCTTAGAAGCTCCTTTCAGCATCTCCCCCGGCAGACTGTTTTCTCTTTTCTCTGAAGGTGACAGAAACTCTCAGGCATCCTCCCAAATGTTCAGTTCCTCCTCTCCTTGCTCACTTGCCTCTATATCTACCTCAGCTACAGCTGTTTCTCTGGGGGTGGGTTTAGGGCCTCCACCCTCGTCTGCCTCAGGTGTTTCCTTCAAGGCCAACAACTCTTCTGCTGTTGCTGAGGGGGCCTGCCCACCCTGGCACTTAGCTCCTTCCCCCCAGCTGGCTGTAGCTGGCTCACAAACCCAAACCCAAAACAAAACATGTTTTTTTTTCACTTTCATGTTGTTTTTATTTCATTAAAACACAAAAAGACTATACCTAATTTCCATCATCCAGATTTCAATGGCGAAAACCATATCATCCAGGGCATTTACTCCATGGGACCTTGCCTGTAATGTAAATCCTTTTTTTCTACCTACCTTAGGAAGAAGAATTTTGTCATCAGCTACCTGGGCCGAGAGAAGCAAAGTCAAGAAGCATATGTGCCATTGATGTCCGACTGGGATCTGGGCATGGCCTTTGCTGCAGCTTCCAAGCCTTACTTGCAGCTCAAGATTGACATCAAGCCTTCAGAAGATAGTGAGTAATTGGTCCTCCTCTATTTCGACTGTGAGAGCCAGGAGTTTCAGCCTTTGCCCATCTGCTTTGCATCCTACACAGCTAAGAAATCCCCCCTTGGTTCCTCTCGCGGTGGACATTGCTAAGTATTTCAGTTCCCCTGCCTTTTCCACCAATATTTCTTTTCCTTTAGAGACATCATACGTTCATTGGTGTCAATGCAGGAATGTACAAGTCAATGAATAATGTCTTAGGTGTAGTGTGAAAAGCAGTCATACTAAGGAAAGAGAGTTGTAGGAATGAAGACCAGAAATTGAGGGTGTCTTCCAGTCCATCTCTCCTTTTTTTGTGTGATTGTGTATTACTTGCCTCACTTTAGAGCTGTATGTTACTAATACGTTTTGTAGAGTTGTAGGAATGAAGACCAGAAATTGAGTGTGTCTTCCAGTCCATCTCTCCTTTTTTGTGTGATTTTGTATTACTTGCCTCACTTTAGAGTTGTATGTTACTAATACTTTTTGTAGAGTGGTTTGGTCATTGCTCCTTCCTGCTTGCAAGATGCAAAAGCCAAAACTTCTGAGGACTTCTGTAACTTGCACCCAGAGTGCACAGTTCTTGTACAGAGAGTGGAATTCAGCCCCCTGTAACTTAACTGTCATTTCATTACTTTGCTGCCTTTTTCATTTAAGCTATAAATGTCATCTTCGAAACATTATATTTATGTCGGGTAGCAGTAGAACAAGAAAACATGAGAATGTATAATTTGCATGGCTTACATAGGTCATAGAACTCACTTTTCATTTGTTTATTTGATTCTTTTTTTAAAATGGGATATATGTAGACTTGCTTCTCTTCCTTTCGCCCTTTCTGCAGCACTTTTTAATATGCAGTGCCATTGACCCTGTGAGATCCTCAGGGGGATGTGAGATTGAGGGAGTGGTTGATGCTGGGTGTGAGAAACTGGCTCACCTTGCCATCTTCTCCTAGGCCCCCTGCTAGAAGACTGGGACATCATCAGCCCCAAGGATGTCATCAGTACTGACCTGCTGCTGGTGGAGAGGCGATCTCTGGCAGCAGCAGCCCTGCCCTTCACCCAGTCCATCATTTCACAGGTAAGTTTCAGGGGGATGAATTCATTCTGATAATTTAAATGCCCCTGATGTGGTATTCCATAAACAAACTTGCAGTAAAAACTTAGTTTCTTAGATACAAAGTGGCAGAGGAAAGGAATCGGATTGTCAGAGTACCATTATTTTCCATGTTAATGTGGTCCATGTACCATGAAATGTTGCAGATTCTTCATCAATTGATCTGTCTGGAGTCAGAATAGTTGTTCTCCTTCCAGAGTGGTTTTGAATCACGATTTAAATTTTTTAAAAATCAGTTTTTTTCTGACAATTTAAATTTTAAAAATGACTTTAAATCATTTTAAGTCTTTATTTAAATCAAAAGGCATTGAATTTTGACCCTGTGGACCTCTTCCTATGCTGTTATTACTCATAATTTACTGCAGCATCGATTCCAAAGCCATGATGGAACAACAAGGATAAAACATTGAACAGCTGGAATGCCTGGTCTTGTACTTTCTTTCCATAAGACACAGAGTGCAGGTTGTTTCTCTTTTATATCTTGCCAGGTGGGCAGGACACTATCAAAGGTCCAACAGGCTCTCAGCTGGTCCTATGGGGAAGATGTCAAACCTTTCAAGCCCCCACTGAGTGACTCAGAGTTCCACACATTCCTAAACCATGAGGGACAACTGACAAGGCCTGCAGAACTGCGTCTTCGTATCTTCCATGGTGGCGTTGAGCCCTCACTGCGCAAGGTGAGAGAAGGAATTCTGGAAATCAGTACTCTGCTTAGAGGGATGGGTGTTGGGTTTACTAGGCAGGAACTAGCCTCCTGTCACCCTCCTGCTTTTCTGAGGCTATAACCTGTTGGCCTTCTTAGGTCACTGGCAGAGTCATTCCTGGTAGTCCTTGGGTCTCCTTATCGGGAGAAAGGCAGCATATAAAACAAACAAATAAATAGGCTACATGTCACCATCTGAGGGGCATAGTTTATTCCTTCAGTTTCTCACTGTTGGTGGAAAAAGAAAGATTTCCAGAGCTGAGTCCTTCCTGTCTCCTGCAGGTGGTTTGGAGATACTTGCTCAACGTCTATCCTGATGGGTTGACAGGTCAAGAGCGCATGGATTATATGAAGCAGAAGACACGTGAGTATGAGCAGCTGAAGGGGGAATGGGAAGCCCGAGCCAACCCCGAAGACTTGGATTTCATCCGCAGCAACGTGTTGAAGGATGTTTTACGAACAGATCGCACACATCCCTATTATGCTGGCTCGGATGATAACCCACACCTGACAGCCCTCCATGACCTGCTGACCACCTACGCCGTGACACACCCACAGATCTCCTATTGTCAGGGCATGAGTGACATTGCCTCCCCCATCCTGGCAGTTATGGACAATGAGGCTCATGCCTTCATCTGCTTTTGTGGTATCATGAAACGCCTGGAGGGCAACTTCCAGGTAGATGGGGAAGTCATGTCTGTGAAGTTCTCCCACCTCAAGCTTCTTCTCCGCCACTCTGACCCAGAGTTCTACTCCTACCTCCTCTCTCGTGGTGCTGATGACCTATTCTTCTGCTATCGGTGGTTGTTGCTGGAACTCAAACGGGAGTTTGCCTTTGAGGATGCCTTGCGCATGTTGGAGGTCACCTGGAGCTCCTTCCCTCCCGATCCTCCTGAGAAGGAGGTGGAGCTGGTGGGCCCACCGGCTAAGCCTGGTGACAGCAGCCAGCCGGTCCGAAGGAGACACATGTTACGCCCAGCTTGCAGTTTTGAGGCAGGTGGGGATCAGCCCTGCCAAGTGCCAGTTTCTGAAGAGAAGACACTTATCAAACAGTCTAGCTTTGGTGAGTTCAAGTATTACAGCACTCATGATGAGGACAGTTCGGAGGATAATCCTTCACCCAAATCTTCACACTCAATGGACCAGGAGGAGGAGGTGGAGTGCAGCGGTGAACAGGACCCATTGATCCAGACCATGAATGTGGCCAAGTCTTTCTCAGCACCATCCCTCCGGGCATTGACACCACCCTCGAGAGACTCTGCCTCCTCCTCAAGCAATGGCAGTGAGGAAAGCCAGTCAGAGGAAGAGAAGGGGAACTTGGTGGTCCACACATTATCTTCTTCCTCCTGCAGCCCTCCTGCTCCTCCTACTCCTCCCACAGCGGTCAGCCTCCCACCTCCCCAGGAGTTTGGTAAAGGCAACCCTTTTGTGCTCTTCCTGTGCCTCGCCATCCTTCTGGAGCACCGAGACCATATCATCAAGAACAATATGGACTACAATGAGCTGGCCATGCATTTTGACCGCCTGGTCCGCCGGCACAACTTGAACAAGATCCTTCACCGCGCCAAGGCCCTCTTTGCGAATTACCTGCAGTCTGAAGTCTGGGACTCTGAGGAGGGGGATGAGGCAGCTGCTGACTCACCTGCCACATCATGACACCCTCCCTTATGATATATGGGGACTGGTTCCCTGCTGCCATTGTGGTGCACACATCAGTATAGAAGGGTAGCTGGTAAAATACTTACTTCAACTTGATGATAGCTTTTCAGAGGACTTCCTGGAAGGCAATCTGGAGTAGCTAAGTTGAGTGGTCACTATGAATACACCTTCTGCATCCAATGTACTCTGTTTTTAACTTATCTCTTTGTGCAAATACCCTGGCATAGATGCCCCACCTGTCTTCTGTGCCTCCAACCCTTCCAAGTGCTAATGATCTTCCTGGGAAGATCTTTCCTGGAGCAACCAGGTTCTCGCCTTTGGAATAGCTCTTTCCCCCTTCTCCTATGCATTTTTCCATCTGTCTACTACCCTACTTAACTTCTTGTGTCCTCCTAAACAGCCTTCAGCAACCTGGTGCCTTTTAGATGTGCAGACTCTAATATCGATCGTCCTGATTGATGACTCATGGTCATTGCGCAACACATCTGGGGGGAGCCAGGTTATGGAAGCCTGCTATATAATGTTGGTTGCTGATTGGCCAAGATTAACCTTTGACTAGAGATGGGCATGAACTGCTGGTTTGGCAATTTGGCACTGTTTGTTTCCTGGCTGAACAGCTGATTTGCCATTCGGCACCCTGCCCCCTCCAGCAGGTGCCCACTTGATGGCAGCACCTGGAGGGGGCTAGGTGGGGTGTTGCCACTGAATGGGCGCTTGCTGGAGGAGGCAGGGCGTGGAATGGCAAATCAGCTGTTCAACCAGGAAATGAACTTCACTGAACCACTGAACTATCAGTTCATGCTCATCTCTACTCTCCTCTGCTCAGGAACCAGTGCTTTTCTCTGTTCTAGGCATGTTTGCCAAAAGCATTTTTAATGCGGAATCTTGATGTGTCTTTTTTTCTCCCTAGGGTGGCAGCTTGTGCTTGGCAAAAGCACCAACACAGGTGCCCCCTTTCCAAACGTTGATTTTTATGCTGAGTTAGTAAAATATTTTGACCCAAGTTTGGGTTTTGTTTTTAAAGCACTTTACTTTCACTAGATTTTTTTCTCTGTCCGTTACTGCTTTTCTGTTTGAGCATAAACTTTTGGTTTGGTTTTTTTTAACAAATGAAGTCACAGCCTTGGGGATAAAAACACACAGGATGTGTTTAGAAACAGATTGCTAACATCCTCCCATTGCCCTTACCAGCTGATTTTTAAGGCAGGTAGGTTCTTTTTTTGAATTTGACCATCTCAATGGTCTTTTTAATAACTAGTTATGGAAAGAAGTCAACTGTCTATTAAAAAAGAAACTGGCATGGGAAGGTGAGAGGTGTCCTGATGCCTTAGTGCTCTTACAGATATGTTCATGGGTAGGTCAGTTGCTTGTGTCTTAATTCAAACGCTTCTGCCTAACTAGCAATCTCTATGGCCAACATATTGTTTGAAATACAATTGCTGTAGAAGAGCCTGTGTCTGGTCAGGTGAGTTCGTTTTCCCCCATTCCTTTAGCTGGCCTTATCCCCCTTAGCTGGCCTCCCCTATTTCAATGCAGAAATTTAATCAGCTTGCCAGATTCTTAACAATGGCTTCTCTGTGCATTATTAGCTTGTAGGGCAGAATCGTGCTGGAGCATGTAGCAACATACGCTGTATCACAGAGGCAGGGGGAAACTCAAGCCCTTTCTAGCGCTATGTGTTCATCTGATGTCAAACAGTAGTCCACATAGGGTGTGGCAGATTGTTTCCTGATAAAAGGGGGGAAAGAAGCATCTTGACTCTCTGACTGTCTATTCTAGCTGTTTCTGGTTTATACTGGGAGCCAAAACATTTATGACCTGGTGTTAATGTGACCCGGTTTGATCGTTTGAAAGGAGAACCCTGCTTCTCTGTTTTTGCCTTGGGAATAACTGAGCAAGAGATGCCACAAAAGGTGATAAAAATGTTGTTGAATTGCAGAAGGGTATGTTGCGTATCTTTCTGGGTTAGCCATTTTGCTACTCAAATACCTCATTCTGCTTCTTCTACCAGTTAGATCAAATAAGTAGATGGTTATTGCCTGTCTGTGGAATGGTCAAGATTCTGCTTAGAAATACTGTCTGCTTACTTAATTTCTGGTGTTTGGGTTCAACTTTCTTTTTAAGGCAAACGGGTCATTCCATGTCAAACCAATGAAAAATCAATTTTGGAACTTGATGTCATGGATTTGGTTCATTTTTGGTACTTTTGTACCTTACCATGAGATGTTTAAAAATATTTTTTTTCAGATTTTTTGATCCACCCATTACTGAGGTATTGCTTTTTCAGAATTGAAAAAAAAATCCAAAAGTCACTAGCCACCATAACTTCAAATGTCATTTAATAGATACATATGATAGCTACACACCAGAGGGAGGTGTCATTTTAAAGCTTATGAATAGGGCTTTTATTTGATTTACAATTACAGTTACAGGGAGAACATACCAGCTAACTCCACAGGAGATGACAAAAGCATCCAACATGCTAGCCAAGAAAAAAGAGGTTCCTAATCATTAGGTATAGAACTTTTGGTCTATTTTTGGTCTAAATCCCTGTCACTGCCAACAAGAAAATTTAAGTTTTGTATACCATTCAGATACCAGCCTGAAATTTGGATTGACTGGCTACAAGACATGTATCTTTAAGTTTGATTTTTTTGAAAACTTAAAAAATTCAGTTTTCCCAAAAACTCTAATTTTAAATTTTTTAAAAATGTGTAAATGTTTTGAAAACATACAATTGCATCATATTGTATATCATGGCATATATATATTTGCAATTTTGAAAATGCAATATCTCAGGAACGGGTGGACCAAAAAAATCTGAATTTTTTTTTAAAAAAAATATCTCATGGTAATGTAAAAATATAACAAAAATGAACCAAATCCATGTATTGGTTGATTTGACATAGAATGACCCAAAGATTTTTTTAAAAAATCCTAATGGAAATTTTAGGAAAAAGTGTTCTCTGCGTCAGTGACACTGGCAATACCAGTGCATGTCTTGTTCATTTTCTGTTTCTTATGCGTCCAAAGTCCTCCATATATGTTGGCATTTGCTCAGGCTGGAATCCCCAGGCTGCGAGGCTTTACAAGAGGAGAAAAGAATCTCAAAAATGTATATATTGCAGAGTGCATGGTAAGTTTCATCCCCTATCAGGTCATTTCTTCAGAGCACCCTGAAGTTTGTTCTCCTCTCTGCTGGTCAGAATCAGAGAACAGGAACAACCAGGTGGGAGTCTTCATATGAGCAGAGAGGTCTTTAGTGAACAGTTTCCTGTGTTGGTTGGTTACGGGCTTTCCTGCATAGAGCTGTCTGAAAAGAAATAGCCATGGGAACCACCAGCTTCAGTCCAGGTAAGAGAGAAGCAAAGCACAAGTTAGTGATACCTCCAGAGGAAAATGATTACCCCCAATAGCTATCTGTCCTAAATTTGAGGGGATAGAATACAATAAGTCCCACAAAATAAAATGTTGGCATAAGCCCATCCTTTTAAGGAAATGGCCAGTAGAAGGGGCTGTAACATAGCTTAATATGAAGTAACAGTGGAGGAGATTTTTAGAGTCTTCTCCAACACTTTTCTGACTCTTTCTGTACAGATGACGTAGAAGAATTAGGGTTCACAGCCAAGCAGATGAAAATTCCATCAGAAGAACAAAGCTGTAAGTTCTGAAAGTAGAGTCGAAGGAACGTCACCTACAGTGGCAGTGCTGTTCTGTGGCCTGTAGATGGTACTTGTTGCCTAAGCCTCTTGAAGCAGATTGAAATTTCTGTGGAAGAGGCACATTTACAAAACCTAAGGCTCTTTATAACTGGGAGCCTGTACTGAGTAGAAAACAGCCTCTCTGGGCCTTCAGGCTATCATAGTCTTCATCTTTAAGCCATCTTGTAGGTCTGTAGCTCCCAGCTTTTGGCTCTCCAGATCTATTCAATTTTCAGAAGCGCCAGCCAACAAGGCTAATGGTCAAGGATTCTGTGAGCTGAAGTTCAAAACATCTGAAGGGCCAGTAGTTGAGAACCACTTCTCTAGATCAGAGTAAGGGAACCTTTGATCTTCTGAGAGTTTTAGACTGCAGTATCCATAATCCCTTATCATTCATTGGCAATGCTGGCTGGGCCTTCTGGGAACTGCAGTCCCAAGCATCTGGAGGGCCTCACGTTCCTCACTCCTGTTAGGTGAATGGTCTGCCTTTTTGTTATAGCATGAGAAGCTAGCTATTCAGAGCTGCTACAGGATTTAATATTATTCGTTGTGCATTTCTTGCTCTGCCATATCATTTGTATGGCTGTTTGAGCTGGAAGATCATGTAGCATGATTATTTATTATGTCTTCTTTTTTCATAAAACTGTCTTTGGGTTTTCATCAAGAGGCTGACACAGGTTGGCACATGCACATCAGTTTTAACTGTGCCAAAGCCTCAGATATTCCCACGATCACTTGTTGCTTTCAGTCTATGGCAGCAATGTTCAAAGCATGTGTGAGTAATGATCCTTGTGGTAATCATAGCGAACAAAGTTGCTGATTCGCCTAGTGCACAATGATTGCGACTTCCTCTTGAGAATGTGGGGATGCCAGTTTCCCCTGGAGAGGACTTTATGCTGATCTCTGTGGGGACGGTGTTCACAGTCTGTTTTTAGGCAAGTGAAAAGGGCTGCCTTGTAATCACTTCGCATGAGAGTAGGCAGAGAGTAAATTGTAATTGGTTGAGGTAGGGATTTGAATGTGCCCTTCTCACTTGACATTTGGGAATGGAGGCAAGCTTGGGTCAGATGGAATCGGGTGCAAGTGGGACGAGAATCCATGCATAACTTCTGTTAAGCAGAACTGCATGTTTAGTCTGCTGGAAGCTGGCTGACGTGTAAAGGGTCCTGCAGTTCCACTGATCCATTTTTATAAATAATCGGAGCTTTGCTTATGTTCTAGGATAGTAAGACTTATAATCCGTCTCCATGGCCTCCATTGTGTTTTCTCCCAACTGAATAAACACTACAAGACCTCTTGATAGACTGATGGCATATGTAGGTTTGTCAAACAGGCCAAGCCAACTGTCTGCCTTTGGGGTCTCTCATTAGTGGGTGAGGGGCTTATATTGCTCTTCCCTAACTTGCCTTGCTTCTGACACTACTCCCTTGTAGCCTAGTAAGTCAAGATTGCTGGCAAGGCTGTCCATGTGTGGTAATAACCATTGGAACAACATCTGTTACATATCTTACTTTTAACAATAACCTAATTCCAGGGCTGGTTTGGGAAGGGTGGATCACAGACCCCCCGTTGTGGTTTTCTTCCTACATCGTTCTGTTGGAGTCTCTGTGTCTCAGCCAGGTTTCCTTGGTTATTTGTTTGACTTCCTGACAGATTCTACTCTAAAATCAGGGCAAGTTTTTAAATAGTTCCCCTTCATATTTGGACAGGATGGGCATGGACTTTTACTTCTCCCCATGCTCAGAAAACTTCCCTTGAGGAACTAAATTAGGATCTGCCTCTTCGGTAGGATACATAAGGCCATTGTTTGTCTCAGCTCAAATAGAACCACCAGCTCAATAGGATTTATAGAGTCGACATTAACGTAAGACTCAGTAGGATCTGGAAAGATAACACTAATGTAATTGATTCAGTGGTCTGCTCTGTTTGGGATAAGCTATTGGGTTTACATCTTAAGAGAGTAGCTGGCTGCAGCAGAGTCATTATATGTTGACATTAGTTTCTTCCACTGCTGTATACTGGACCAATTGTGAAGAAAAATACTTTCTTCCCCCAATACTCTAGATTCCACCTCTAGTCAGTATGGTGCTAATCATTATGTTAGCTGGATAACTACTGATGGTTGTGTTTCAAAAAATAATTTTTCCAAGCTGATTGTCTGCCTCTGGTGACCATATTCTTCTGTGATGTTGATTATGAAAAATTAAGCAAATAATGGCTTTTAGTTATAAAAGACTTAGCTTTGGAGCAGGGAGAGAGAGGGGGAAAATCTGTATTGGGGCACACTTGAGCTAAGTCCTTGTTATCCTTGCCTATATCAAAGCTTCTCTTTTCTCCCTTCCTTGCCCTATATTGCTACAGCTACTACCACCAACTCGCTCCTGTTTCCTCTGTTTCATGCAGAGGAATTTGGCCATGAGGCTGTCACTCAATTAAAAGTGTACATAATCTGTTGGGTTGCAGCAGAACTATTGTGGTAATGAGCAAGATTTTAATTCTCATGCCATTCATGATGCTTCCCTGTCAGCTTTGTGCGGGAGAGTTTCCTGGTTGGTGTTTATTATCAAGGTTGTGGTTGCGATCATGTTTAGGCAGCATGCGTATTCGTATTTCTGCTTCTGAACATCCACCAATGGTCTTGCTTGGTATTATGGGGCTTAGTTCTTAGCTCTCGCTCTGCCCGAATCAGGTCTCTGTTCTTCCCTACTTATTTGATAATTCTGAAGTAGAGATGGGGGTATTCATATAAGAATATCTCCATGCAGCTGGACTTAACGATGGTCCGGCCCCTGGGGCAGGACTGTCCACTCACATGTCCGCCGGCGGCAGCAGCCTCGCTCATCCTTCCAGTTGCGCCCAGAGCACCGCTCTCTTCCTGCTCAGCTAGCACTCCAGGTAAGGGGAGGGAGGACGAGTTTCCCTATATGGCTGCCGAGTGGCCAGCCAAACAGAAAGAGAATGGCACTGTGGGTTCCCTATATGGCTGCCGAGTGGCCAGCCAAACGGAAAGAGAATGGCACTGTGGGCTTGATTGGAAGGATGAGTGGGGCTGCCTCTGCCAGCGAACTCATGAATACCCCCACCTCTATTCTGGAGACTACATTATAATTGGTGTTAAAAGCCGGGCAGCCATTGTGTTACTATAGCTTTTCTACCTGCTCCATGTGAATTCCATTTTGTATGATTCCATCTTTGAAACTCTCCTGCTTCCAACCAAATTCTGTTGGTTTTCACTCCCCCACCCACCCAACAAGAAGACTTTCAACTTATCCAGACTTTTTGTTCTGTGAGATATATATATGTCTATTTTTACTCTGCCTTTGTATTATTTCTGTGCTGCTGGTTTATTTTTATATGCCTTTCTATTTGTTGTGGTGCTTTATGTTTCAGGCTGGGACTTGGAAACAACACAAAAAGACTTTAAAACTGGACTGTTTGCACTTGGGATACTGATTATGCCAGAATCCCAGTGTGCACAAACGTTGGCCGGGTTCCTTTTGTATAGAAATATTTACTTCAGTCTCCCATATGCTCTCTTTGACGGGCTGGCTTATTTAAGGAACAGAAGCGGAAGAAATAACTTGTTAATAGTAAGATTCAAATACTGTATAAGTCAAAATAGCATGGGACTTAGTACATGTTCTCTTAAAACGGCCACCTCAGGCAAAGGATTTGGAGCATCATTCAGAGTTATGAAGTAGGAGTAATATCTGAATTGTGGCACAGAATGTAGTGGGAAGATCTCAAGGCAGTGCCTCAATGAAATAATTAGGCACATGGTAGGCGTTT